ATGGTCAGACCTCTGTATCAAATAATTTTTTTTTTTCAATCAAAAAGATTGAGGTCGGCAATAATTTGCCGACCTCATTTTTTCTAATTCCGAGGGTAGACTGTATTTAATAGATGCATACTTATATACAACCCTCGGAATTAGGGTCGGCATTCGGTAATGCCGACCTAACTGCCGACCTGAAAGTGTTTGAGGTCGGCAAAAAATAGCCGACCTCATTTCTATGTTTTATGGTCAGACCTTCAGGCCTTGTTAAGAAGCGTTTCCCTATCTGAATTTTACGTACGTATTCACGATTTCGCGTACGCGTTTCATAATTTACGTAACGCAAAAACTTTTTGCGGAAAACATTAAACTGTAATTAATTGTTGTAATTATTGTAAAAAACATTTGTGGAATATTTTTTTATTAGATAAAAAAGCAGATAGATATCCTTTTTTCTATTTTCCGTTTTAAAAAAAATATATATCTTTAATTTATTTTAATAAATTTAAATTAATTTTATCATTATTCATAGTTTTAGTAATTTATTTGATTAAATTTAAATAAAATTCTTTTAAAAATTTCAAAACGCTCCGTTTTGTAATTTTTAAAAGAATTTTTCGTTAATTATAAATACAGTGAAAATTCACTGTACCAAAGGATGCGTTTTTTGATAGGTACAGTGAAAATCTATTTTTAGAATATTTTTAAAAATTTACTTTCATTTTCCAAAATGCGCATGCTTTAAAACAACGAGTATATGTCTTATTTACCTGTTGATCCTATGAAAGTAAGAAGAGCAAAGGAAGAAATAATGGAGAGAGTAATGTATGAAGAAAATTTAATCGACAAAGAACCTATTAGAGGTTTGTTTATTGATGGCAGGAAGGACTCAACTTTTATTTTGGAACAGAATCCTCTAACAAATAAATTTCACATGAGGACTATAAAAGAAAAACATATAACTGTGACGTGTGAGCCTGATGGAATATACCTCACTCATTACACACCACCTAAAGCTATACCGCCAAGCAAAACCAGCTCGGAATCACTTATATTAACTCTTTTGTCAAGTTTAGATGAAGAATTGAGGAAGTTTGTCATTAAAACCATTAAAGATATAAGGAAAACCTCGCAGTTCGGAGACACAGCGGTAAGGTCAAGAAAAAAGGTTTTTCTCAATACAGAAGCTTTGTCTATCTAAGAGCTAATAGATTGGGAGAAGGAAAAAATATCAGAACCAGTGTTTACGTGCCAAATCTCTACATACAATCTTGACAAATAGCAGGTCACTCGCTTTGAAGCTTTGAACTTTCCTCTTCACACGCAATCTTGTGAAAGCGCAGTAAAAGAAGTTACAGAAGCAGCACTTTCCGTTTGCGGTTTTGAAATAAGAGACGGTTTTGTGAGAGCTCGAATGAATAACAAAAAAACTTTGCCCGAGCTTTAATCAAAAAAAAATTTTAGTAACCTTTACATAACAAAATCGTAAACCAAAACATTTTTATGACAATATTATAACTTAAATTTGTTTTGTATTAAATGTTGTAAAGCTAAACGATGTTGTTAAGTTGAACTATAAAAACTTCATTCCAACAAATAAAGACTGAAAATTTATTATGAAAAAAATTCCAATTTTTATATATTTTTTCAATTTTATAAGGCCTTTTTCCCTGCGAAAATTTATTTTTTTTTAGAAAAAAAAATTATTCACATTTCACAGCATATAATAATATATAAAATATATAATATATAATAATATATAAAAAAAAATCTAAATAGTTTCATATTTCAATAATTTTAAAATTTTGACCCCCCTTGCATTTATGCATAAATAAACAGTTTTACCTTTTTGAAAACTGCAATCCCGCCTAGGTAAAAAAAAATTTTTTCAAATTTTTTTTTTGGAAGTTCATTTTTACATATAGTGCATGCATTTATGCATAAATAAACAGTTTTACCTTTTTGAAAACTGCAATCCCGCCTAGGTAAAAAAAATTTATTATGAAAAAAATTCCAATTTTTATATATTTTTTCAATTTTATAAGGCCTTTTTCCCTGCGAAAATTTATTTTTTTTTAGAAAAAAAAATTATTCACATTTTGGAAGTTCATTTTTACATATAGTGGCACCATTAAAATCATCCGCCGAATTCAAAATCAAAAATTTGAAAAGTATGATGCCCAGGCCCCACAAATTAGGGCCCCCAAATATTTTAGAGGAGCTTTTTTTTTATTTATTTATTTTTAGGCTTTTCCACATAAAACAGGCCTCCAAAAAAACAAAACACCCGGGCCGTAGGATGTCTGAATCCGTCGCTGGTGGCCAGTGATGCGGTTTTACAAAAATACAACTATCTTACCTAAATAATATTTTGAAAACACCCTAAAACTCCATTAAAAAAATAAAATAACATCTTTCAAATCTATATACATTAAAAACTTAACAGAATTTATTTCTTTGTTTTTAACACGTAAGCCACTTTTAACCCAGGTAGCAACTGTCTATGTTGAGAACTTATATACCATCTCTTGCGCCTGGCCTATCTATGGTCATGGATGCAAATATCACTTGTTTTACAGCATGCTCTGTACTTTGGGTAAAAATTTTAACTGAAGGAGTTATTAAAGGTGTCAATCTTAGCAATTACAAGTTACCTTTTGTGAGAAAACAAGCTAAAACAGGTTCTTGTACTACAGTATTTTTATGTTTAACTATCTCTTGAAAAGTCTCGCTGCAAAGTTCTTTAGGTATTTTTCTTGGTCTGATTCTGGTATCTCCAACAATATCGTTGCCTCGTTGTATCAAAATTTGGTAAACTGTAAAGTTTACCATATTTTGTTCTTATTTTGTTCATATTTTTTGTTCTGCATTACTACTAGATAATGAAGACATTCATATACTATGCATACCAAGCTCCTAGCTGGGCGTAGGGTGTCATTCTTTTTTACCCTATCAGGTTGATTTCTGAAATTCTCAATTAAAACATAATGTGGAAGCATCTTTAAATTTGTTTTTTATTATGTTAAAAAAAGTTTAAAGTAAATTGTAAACAGAATAAGATAAGTAGCTCTAGATTTTTTAAGTTTTATATAGCTTATAAAATTGTTTTTGATGCGTTGACATCTTTTTTAGTATTGTTTCTGAAATGTTAACAAAGCTCTCTCCATCTGGACAAGTTTTAAATTGAAGATTATACTCCATTTTATAAATATCAGGATATTTTCCCATAGGATTTACAAATTCAGTACTAAATGATGTTGGTCCATTAATTCCTTTTATTAGGTGACACAAAAATAACTTGTTTAATCTATAAGTATTACACATCATTTAGTAAGATTATATTTTTGCTAAAAAAAACAAACAACTTAAGGAAGCTTTGTAGCTGGTTTGTCTGAATGAATACGTGCATTCGGGGTAATATGACCAAGATATCAAACACAAAGTTCTATAGCCACAGTAATGTGATTCTCTTGATAATAATAGAATGTAACTGTCCGTTCAAATTATTAGCATGTATTATCTGCATCTCAGACTTTCAACCTGTCTTATATCTTTGACTTTATATCTTGTGCTCCGTAGTTAGAATTCGTTTAGTAAAAATACAGTTGCAATTTATGTGTGCTATAATCGTACTATTTTTTGGGGATACCCAAACAGATTATGCTCATAAAAATATTGTATGAGGACTTGTTATGAGATCTATTAGTTTAAAACTCTGGTATTAGTTCTTTTACCTTAGCTTCAGTTCTTCTTCATGCTATGTTTTAAATTGTTTTTCCCAAAAAGTTTTTATTCTATAATAAAGTGATTTCTCCCCAAAAATAACTGGTTGTTGAAACCTAACATTTTCATTTCTCCATTGAGCAAGAACAAATGAAATTAGATTGATTTTTGTTAGAATATTTATTTTGGTATAGACTGCATGTTATGCTTTTTTGCTCTTGTTGTGAAATTATATAATATTTACTCTGTTTGTAAGCAACTAATTAGGAATAAAATCCTTTCCAAGTCCACTAAATCTAGAAATTTCTAGTGAAGGATGAATATCAAGCTTTCAACATTAATGAATAATGCAATTAAATAAATAATTGTGAATATAATAATAGTATCTAAATCACATTTTTATATGGCAGAGAGCTAAGTCGAAGTCTCTTTTAAAATTAATTTGCCACTGCGCTTATAATAAGTCTAAACAAAATCTACTTTAATAGAAATTAATTTTATTTCATTTTAATGTCTAAATGTGAAAATTTGGGTATCAAGACATTTTCTAATCAAATAGTAGTCAATAGCAAACCTACCTTGAAATTTAATTTTACACAAGAGTACACCTTTTCTTAAGCTTGAATTTTATTTTTTTGAAATAAATTTGAAATTCACTATACGCTAATAGTCACATACTTGGCCTAGACATTTACATTCATAAGAGTTCACTAGTTTTTTGGAAAACTAGGTTTGAATCCGCAGATTATTTTTTTGTGCTTTCATTTAGCACGACTCCACTGTCTCACCTTTCTTTTTGTTTTATATCGGTCTCCATCTCAGGACTGCACTTTTTTCGATGTCATTGCTGATCAAATTGACCAAGCTCTTTCTCTTTATCCTTCAGCCAATATTGTTGTAGTTGGTGACTTTAATGCTAATCACACTGAATGGCTCGGCTCTAGTGTCAGTGACTCTTCAGGCATTAAGGCCAACAATTTTTGCCTTTCTCAATCTCTAACACAAATAGTCAACTTTCCGGATAATCTGAATCATTTACCTTCTCTACTTGACTTATGTCTTGTTTCTGATCCTTGTCAATGCTCAGTTTCTCCACATTCACACTTGAGTTCTTCTGAAAATTGTTTTGATCTCTTTAATGCTATTATTTTATAAACCATTGTAAAATGGTTTTGTCTAACGTCAAAACTCGCTATTCCCAGGTCACAAAATATAGTTTTTTTTCTCAAAAATCAGGCTCTCGAGACTTCTATAATAGGGGCAAATCTGTTATTCCACCTCTCTTGCACAGTTCAGATTTTGTTACCTCACTTAAAGACAAAGCTGAATTATTCGCTAAGAACTTTTTATCTATCTCATTTCTTGATTCGACCAATCACATTCTACCCGATAAAACCGTCAAACAGGTTAATCCATCGCTTGACATTCTTATCACCCCAGCTTTTGTATCAAAAGTGATTTCTTGCTTAAACTTCTACAGACTGTGGTCCAGACGACATACATGTCATAGTCTTGCAAAAGTGTTGTTCGGAGCTGTCGTCTATACTTTCAAAACTATTTAACAAATGTTTATAGAAGTCATGTTTTCCACCCTGCTGGAAAGCTGTGAATGTGTTTCCTATTTTTTAAAATTTTAGATAGCGATCCGACTTGTCTATCTATCATCCCATCGGTCTTCTTACTAGCATAAGCAAGGTTTATGAGTATTTAATTAACACACAATTAATCTCTCATCTTGAATCTAATAACTTACTTTCTGATCTGAAATATGGATTTCGATCTTCTCATTCTACTGCTTAATTTAAGTTTACTTTTACAGGTGGATATGCAAACATTATGGAGAAGTGATGCCCAGTATCTTAAAGAGAGGCAAAGGGTTACGAGAAAATAGCGTGCTAGCAAGTGGTTGTAAAATGGTTATTTATGTAGCCTAAAAAAAGAAATAAGGAGTTATTATATTAAGAAAAAAAATTTAGTTCATAATCATCCACATGGGCCTGAGCAGTTCTGTATGTATAGTTCAGAATGTCAACCAAAAGGTGTTCTCGAGCAGCAGACAATGCTTCTGCTATCTCATGGTGCTAATCCTACACTTATAACAGACAATTTAAACAGACATGGTTTAAAGACTAGACCTCGTGATATATATAACATAAAGCAAAGAATGAAATTTAAAGGTTTTTGTTATGGTTGAAACTTCAATTTTAAATTGTATGACTTTTCTAAAAGGTTAATTATCTTTTCTAAAAGGTTATTTTTTTCCCTATAAAATAAACAGGTCTTGCACTCGATGAAGTTATAAAGGTTGTTGAATTACCAAACGTCATATCCCATATTGATGCAGATCTTGATAGAAAAGTAGAGTGTATAACATGGACAACTACTGAACAAATAAATTTGTTGAAAAAGTATCCTGAGTGTATCATGCTTGATGGTACCTATAAGGTTTGTCTTAACATTGGCTAAGTGTGTGGCGTAAGATTTTTTTTGAGGGTATAACTTCTATTTAAAAAAATAGGTATTTATAAAAGTAATGAATTGCTATTAATAAATTTCCTAATAATATCCAGATTAGCAACTTTTCTATGCCATTATACACAATGGCTGTTGTGGATCAAAATGGCATTGGGCGACCTGTAGTGCAGTCTTTAGTTTATCGTGAGGACCAGTCACATCTACAGCTGCTAATGACACATGCTAAGGAATGGGCTGGGATTGAAACTTTTCAAAAGTCGATAGTCATGGTTGATAAAGCTCAAGCAGAAATATCTGGACTACAGTCCCTTTTTCCAGGAAATAAAATATTTCTCTGTCGCTTTCATGTAGCTAAAGCTTTTATTTATCAAATTAAAAAGGGTAGACTTACTGCTGACGATCAGGAATTATTATTCAAGGTTTGCAATTATAATATTATTTTTTAGTTATTTTTATTGTTTATCTTACTAACAATTGGAAAATTTATGAATAAAACTATTGTAAAAATGCAACTATGCTCTCACTTAACTATTTAAATGTTTTATTAGGCTACTCAGAAATTAATGTACAGTAATCAGGCAACATGCGCTGAAGCTTTCTTAAATATTGAAAAAAATTTCCCTACGTTCTATGTGTATCTTCAAGAAAAGTGGCTGACCATACCAGAAATGTTTATGGGTCACTATAGAAAAGGTCTGATGCATTTAGACAATCATACTAATAACAGACTTGAAAGGTGCTTATTTTAAGATGACTTCATTATTTTTAATACAAAAGTCTTGTAATGGAAAAAGTTTTAGATCGAATAACTTAATTTTTTTATGAATTATTTTACAATAATTAATTATTGTTCTTATTAGATATCATAGAACACTTAAAGATGTTGTCCTTTTGTCACGCATGTCACTGGGAAATCTTATAGATAAAATTCTAAAGGTTAATAGAGTGCAAATAGAAAAATCTAAACATGCAGACTTTGACCAACAACTAAAAGTTAACAATAAACTTCCAGAGCCACTAAAGTTTTATTCACATCATGTTTCTTCTTTTATTCTTCGTCATCTCATAAAACAATATGATAAAAGTGTCAAGTCTGATTTTAGTTTATATGAGGTTAATAATTTTTATTGAATGTACTCCATTTTTTATTATTTTTTGTTTTCCAATAAGATTTGCAAGTCAATCATTACTTATTTTATGGTGTTTTAGGACAGAGATTCATTACAAATAATCAATCGGCAATCAACTTTTTATAACATAATAGACTGGGTTTGCATCTGTAACGCTGCATCAGGGTTTGGCGTGCCGTGTGCACATGTTCTTTTTGCTCTAAGAACGAAAAATGTAACTGTTAATGATCTATAGTTGATTCATAAAAGGTAACCTTGGGTTTTCTACTAATTAATAATAATAAAGGTCCATAATATTTCATTATATAACTTTATGACCATATTTAAATTTCAATCCACTTATGTTATAGATTGCTAAATTAAAATTTATTTGAATAATAATCAATTTACAATTTAGTAGTCAAAACATGTATTGCAATGTTGCATGCAATTTATTACTTATTAAATGTTCTGATTCATTGTTTATTCTAGAAGAAGTTACTTTAAAAAGTTACCATGCCATTCAGGTAATCTAAAAAGCAAAACAAATGATGTATCCTTGATCCACTATTTGCATTTTTTAATGCTAAATTGATTGTCTGTTATAGTTCAATAAATGAAGTAACTACTTTTTTTAATTGGCTAGAAGAATTCTTTTTTGTGTACACTGAAATAAAAATTTTAGATACATTTCTTAACCTACTTTACACTAGGATAACAGAAATTATTTACATTGACATTAATTTATTTAGGTGGATTTCATGCAACACTGTAGCAAACCAGGTAAGTTTTGACCAAGCGCCAACACATATTACCTCAAATATAGAATCATTACCTCTCTGTTGTGCCACTCCCAAACAAAGATTTACTACAGCAATGAGTTACCTTCAACCAATAGCCTCCTTGCTTGCTGAAATGCCACCCAAAAAATTTGAACTTGCGATTACCTGGTTAGAATCTATTAATCAACAATGCATTTCCGGTGAATGGGAACTGATGGTATGTCAATGGATTTTAGATGCTTTCAGTTTTCAAATCATTAAAGAACTGCATTAGAAAAATGTTTTGTTTATTTGAGTTTCAAAGTGATCCTTGTCTAGAAGTTTTTACACCTGCAGAAGATCACAGTGATCCTTGTCTAGGAGGTTTTACATTTACAGTAGATCAAAGTGATCCTTGTCTAGAAGGTTTTACATCTACAGAAGATCTATCATCAAAAGAAATTTTAGAAGTTAAGTCACCTTCAAGTACAGATCCTATGACTACCCCACTTGAATGCATAAATAAAGAAATATGTGAAGTAGTCTCTCAAGAGCCACATATAAATTTAGTTTTAAGGCAACCCCAGCGGAAGCCACCTGGTCGTGTAGTTTAAAACAAACAGAGACTTTTTGACAAAGCTATAAAAGCGTTTGAAAAATTGGGTAGTTTCGAAAAAGATCATATCCATCTCTGTTGGTTTGTAGAAAGAACAGTTGCCCTGCAGGTTTTACACGAGAGTGCTAAAATTACCACCTGCCAGTTTTTAAAGTAGTTATCGAATAAGATCGCTGATCCTAGAGCAAGTCTTGATGACATTAAGCAATATTTTGTAGAGGATGCATGGGCTGAAGTCATCAAACGGTGTGAAGATGTGAGGATTGAAAAATGGCTGTGTCAAGTATGCGGGCAGTCTAAGGCAGCTGGAAAAAACCAAAAATGGCTTCAGTGTGATCATTGTTTAGACTGGTTGCATTATGTTTGTCTACAAATATCTTGCAAACCTAAAGGATATTGGTTCTGTGCTCAATATAAAGTAAGGAAATAGTGGAATTTAGGTTCATTTACTAATATAAAATATTTTTAAAAGTTTTTAGTATCTATTTATGTAGCGACATAAATAAATATTAAAATGCTTATTATTTATAGAAACGGTTAGTATATTATTATATTTATAAAGAGCATACTCCATATTTATTTTTATTTATTTAATATATTATAATATAAATTAATATATTATAAAAAACATTTAAAATAGCTTTTAATTGGCAATTAGCTTTGTGTTTCTTTAGCTAGTGTCCCTTTTTTTCAAAATTCTTGAACCTGATAGTTAAAAATACTTTTTTTGAAATAGCCCTTTATACTACTTTTGAAATAGCCCATGCTACTTTCTAGCGTTTCTTAGTTTAGTCTTTTTTAAGCTTACACTTGAAAATTGTTATATATAGAAATGATTTTTGCTAATCTCTAAATATTTTTTATTGCAAGCTACATTTTATTGTTTTTGATATTTGTTATTGCTTAGCTTTAAAAAAATTAAATTTCATTATTATTTTTGTTTCTTTGGAAACCATTATTTTAAATCAGATTTTGGAATTTTTAAATTGCTGAATTTTGTAGATTTTTGATTTTTAATTAAAAGTTAGTAATTCCAGGCTAGAATTAGAGGTATTTGAAGAAAATATCAGCTTTTTTAATTAGACATTTTTCTGCTATTTGGTAGAGCATCAGGTTTTGGCGGAAAGTGAGAGTTGCAGCTCTTGGGTCATTATTTGAGCTTTGATTAGTTATGATACATTTTTTAAACATGTTATGCATTGTATGATGTATTATAATATAATGTATCATATAATCTATAATCTAATGTATCATAGTATATATCTAAGATAAAAAAACGACAAAAATGCTTCCTGCATTAAAATAAAGTTAGAAAAAAAGTGTTAGACATGTTGTTAGGCATTTTTCTTTTTTAATTTGTTTCAGAAATTTTATAAAGATACTTTCAGTGCTTAACTTTGATAACGTTCATTTGTTTTTCATATTGCATTCTAGATCTTTTTAATTTTGTTGTGTAAAGTGATATTTTAACTGTGCAGCTTTATTTTAATTTTATACCTTTTCATAAAGTCAACACAAAGTTTTTGTTACAGAATGATTTCTTGTTAATTTTTATTTATTAGTTTGCTTTGAAAATACTTCATGAAAATAAGTGTAACTATTATTAAGTGAAATAATGTGTAACTATTATTTTTAGCAATGTTTTAAAGATTATTATTTTTATCAATGTTTTTAAATCTAACAAAGGGTTAACCTGTTTCTCTGGTAAGACAGGAAGAGTTTTTTATAGTCATTATAATTGTATAATATATTATAATCAAGGAATGAAATAGAGGAAAAGTTATTTGCATATGATTTATTCTTAGGAGTTGTAATAAGATGAGACCCATGAGGTAGAGCTGGAGAATTAGATTATCCTTTGTTGTTGACTTTGTTAAAGTAAGTACCTTTTTATTTTCATCTAAGTTTTGTTTTGTTGTTGTTGATAATAATTTTTTGAATATGACTTTTTAAGGGAAGTTCATTTGTATTTTATCTTTATGTTCGCCTTTTTTCATTTAAACACTGGTGTGGAAGGTAATTTTTGTAAGTTATGGAATTTATGCATAGTTATTTGATTTTGTGCTGTTTCATTTGCTTAATTCATTTTAGATTAGTTGAAGAGAGATTCAGACATGTAGGCTTTACTCCTTTTATTTAATCTCTTTGTTTACATCTTTACAATATATTTTACTTTAATTAATTGTAAAATCAACCATTGTTTTTAATTTAGTTATGAATGAGTCTGGTATCAAGTTTATGAATTAGTCTGATATCGAACAAAAAGTTGCATTCTTTACCACAACTTTAAGATGTACAAGACTCAAAGTTTCTTATATCTTTATTGTTCCCAATATTCAACATTGCATTATGTTGAAAATATTAGAAACCATAAAAATCTATGAATTGAAAACTACAAACTAATTAGAAAAACAGAAGTTATAACATCTTAAATTTAAATTGTTTACTTAAAACCACACAATGTTTTTCAATAACCCAAACAACGACTGCTACATCAGCAGCAGCAGCAGTATCAAAAAAAGCAGGTAAATTGATTTTGTAGTTTTTATACATGGATTATTTTTTTTCGGATGATCCCGGTATTCCGGGTATTTTTCAAGACTTTTTGTTTTCCGGATATCCTCAATTATCTCAATACATACAAGTATGCATTTGTGTAAATGTTTGATTTTTAGGAGTTTTTTAGTCATCACTCATACAAAAAATGATAAAATTAACTCAGCTGAAGGCAAAAATTAAGAGAAAAATATGAGAAAAAATATTCTGCATATTGTACGCAAGGAAATTTAAATTATGACCTGGACGATCTATGTTTTAGAAGTGGTGTCTTCTCCCTTTTTGTATGCATAAAAAAAGGAAAAAACTTTTGAAACACTTTCTGTTTTTCTGTAATGAGGGTTTATTATTAAAGAAAGCATTAATGGAACTGTAGCTGACACCGTTTTTGTGGTAGCTATTTATCAATAAATACCACAAGTAATGATCATGTATTACAATTAGTGCTGGACAACGATTAAATATCTTCATGTTGCTTTTTGCATTGTTCAGATTGTTTATTAACTATTGTCCCTTGAGGTCAAATATTTGAGGATAATTTTTTTATTACTTAGGTGTTTAAGCTACCAACTATTATTATTATTTTTTTGTTATCAATTTTTTTTAATACATTTATACAGGGTTGTCACCAAATCAAGGAAATCAGAGATTTCAGGAAAAATCAGAGAAATTCAAATACAATCAGGGAAAATGATTGTTTTTGCAAAAAATCAGGGAATATCAGGGAATTTTTTTATTTATTACAATTTTTATAATGTTTTAAAATGTTTTTTAATATAAATATTCCATTTCAGTGTACATTTCAGGGTTAATTTTTTTTTAAATTATTTAACAAAGTTAGTCAAAGTGTGTTTATCTTTATTTTAGAATGGTCAAAATTTTTTAAAATCTGAAATATGAATACTTGAAATATCTGGAGTAAACCTTTAAAGATTTAACGAAAAAATCAGGGAAAAATAATCAAAATTTCAGCGAAAAAATCAGGGAAAATCAGGGAATTTTATTCCTAAATAACATTGGCAACCCTGTTTGTAAAATGTTATATGTTTGCTAAAACTTATAATACTTATTTAACCACTATTTATATTGTATCAATCATATATATTTCTGAACAAGGTCTTACAGTCAAGGATACTTACAATTACTTTAAAACTAATATAAAGTAAACACCTAACGATAATCATATTAAATAATATTAGTGATACAAATAATAATTATAAAGATAATAGTTATAAATTATCAACACCAATAGCAACAAAAATGGTTTAAATTATAATAAAAATAAATCAATATTTTAAAAGAAAAAATTAATATTATATACATAAACAGGGGAAAAAAAAAATAACAATGGTTAATTAATATTTACAACATCTATAATCATAAAATATTATTTGACCACAAACAAATATTAACTTTATTAAATGATTATATTTATAAGTTAAATATCTGATGCTATGTGTTATTATTGTAAGTAATCAATGTGTTGTCGTGTTTTAGTGTTGCTAGATAGCTTGACTTAATTTCCTGCTGTTGTCTATCTTTAAAAACGACTATTACTTGTTTCATTACTGGAACTCACAACTTTTAATTTATCACTAAAAGATTTTTCTTAGTAATTGGTTTAAAGCTGAATTTGATTTTTATCTTAAGACCGAAGTTGCAAAACCTGTCATTACTGCAACTGGCATAGGCGCGAATCAGTATAAGTGCACCATAAGAACTTATAGACATCAGCTTAAGTGCGAACTGGTATAAGTGCGATGCAGTTGCACAGAATGGCATAAGTGCAAGTGGATTAAGTGCGCCAAAAAAATTGCAAACACTGCCATAAGTGTGCATCATCATAAGTGCGAACTTATAAATAAAATTTTATTAATAAGTATTTAATGGACTTCTGCAACAAAATCAAAATATATACGGTAAAAAAATATATATGACAATTTATTTTCTGAGATATATTCCTTAATTACTTCCACTCTATTAACAACTCCTCGCCCGGGTTTTTTATGCTACTTAGCTAACACATTTTAATGAGCATTATGCTTTTCCCTTTCAAAATAACATTTTTATTATTTTAACAGTTTCTTCGTGAATTTTCACTGTACGTAACTTTTTAAACTAATTTTCACTGTACTTAACCACTGTTCGAAAGCTTTTCTGATAAATACGGTGAATTTTCACTGTACAGTGAATTTTCACTGTATTTAGCGAAAAACGTTTCCTTAGGTACAGTGAATTTTCACTGTATTTAGCGAAAACGCTTATTTAGGTACAGTGAATTTTCAATGTATTTAGCGAATAGCGCTTTCTTAGGTACAGTGAATTTTCACTGTATTTAGCGAAAAACGCTACCTCAATTACAGTGAATTTTCACTGTATCTAACACCAAGCGATTTTTTTAAATGATATTTCCAAAAATTTTGTTAAAGTAAAAATTAATAAATTTAATTCAAGTTACTTTAAAAGGTTCGCATTACATATAACTACGTTTTAATTTCAGTTTAGTTTCAGGTTCTAGCTCCAAATACTGGTCTGAATAATGCGCTTTTCTAGTTAATAAATGACGTCAGTACAAAAAGTTCTTTCAAACTTGAGTTTAAATGTTTGGCTTTTCCGATTTCCGTTAAATTTTATGCAGAAGGACTTTTTTTATAAAACGAACTTTTAATTTTTTTATAAAAAGAAACTTTAAACCGATTAAAAATAATCAATAAAAAAACAAAACTAATACTAGTGCTATAAATATAAGATACGTAAGTTTCAAAATTATACTGATATTTGTTAAAAACAAGTTTTGCTAATAACATCTTAAAACCAAAAATACTATTTATCTTTTTGGATTTAGTAAGAAATAGTAAAAATACATTAGGTTTTAGGGTACATAAAAATAAATAATTTTAATGGAAATAAAAAAAATAAAGCCGAAAAGCGGTAATCTTCCTTTAAATACAATTTTTATTTTATCAAAAGCCAGTTAGCGAAGGTTTTTTTCAAAAGGGGAAAACCCAATCTAATTGTGTAACTTAAATCCGGTACTTGGTAAAATGCGAACTGCGAACAGCGAACTGAACTTTTTTGCGAACCATCGTCCTAGTGGTTGTTAATGATGTAATGTTTTATTTCCGTTAAATAGTTCATTCAGCGGCATATTTTAAAGACTTTTTAAGCGAAAAAATTATTTAAAAAAAATAAAAGGAAATTAAGTGAAACTAGACAAATACAATATAATTTTTTTTTTTTTTTTTTTTATTTAATAGACTGCCTGCCCAAACCAAACCCTCAGTGGATTTAGCAGCACACCGTTGTGAGTCAGGCTATAAGATAGTCGATGTAGCAACATCGCGGTTCGCAGTTCGCATTTTACCGACAACCCTTAAATCCTTTTAAGAAAATCAACCATAAACAGTGTCTCCTCAATTAAAAAAAAATAACCATAAAAAAAATGTTTTAAAGAAAAAAAATTAAGTTTAAAGTATGAGATTTTAAAAGTATAAGATTTTAAAATAAGGAATTTTTTTTTTTAATCAACATTTAAATTTTTTTAATCAACATTTAAATTCTTTTATTTAAAGATATTTTTAAAAGACTTACAACAATTTCTAATGTGTTTTTAAATTTAATTACAATGAGGTATTTTAAAATACGCAACTGACGCAATTAAACTTTTAACGGTGTTAAATATCTTTATTTAATCATGGAAGTATAAAACAGATGGAAGTTCATCAAGCCGCAAACATCAAAGCAATTTCAAGTCGTCTCGGGAGTATGTTTGTAACCGACAATAAAAAAAAAAAACAAGTTTCACTGGATAAAAATACAACAAAATTCACTGAAATGATCTTTATTAAAACATTAAAAAATGAGTTATTCTAGGGATATGCTGCAAGTTTTTAAGAATGAATAATTGCATTTATTCAACAAAAGGTTTATTAAAACTCGGTAATTAAATAGAACCACTTGATTTTAAAAGCATATGTTAGTTTAGGCTTCTTTTCTTCCTTCAAGTCATAACACGACATTTGATAAAAAAGACAACTAAAACAATTTTTAAAAAATCAAAAAAATGTTTTCTAAATAACTAAAGTTTAAAGTATTATTAGCTGTATATCATAACTCCATTCATTCTTGTAGTACTCCATTCATTTAATATGAAGTTTATAAAAAAGTTGTTGTTTACCGTTACTTACATTCATTTAATATGAAGTTTATAAAAAAGTTGTTGTTTGCCATTTTTAATGTTTTTCTTGAATATTATTGGCGAACCTTTAAAGTACTATATTTTTAAATTATTATAAACGTATCTATTTGCGTCAATGTATAGAGATTAGGCGTTTGAGTACAGTCTTGATGTCGTTTTCTTATTGTTTACAAAACAAAAGATTACAAGCATAGTCCCGAAGAATTTCAATGCGGTTGAACTTCCATCTGTTTTATACTTCCATGATTTAATAAAGTTACATTTACTCGCGTTGCGCTTTTCCGTTACGCAACAAAATCGCACAACAACTCGATGTACTTAAGGATAGTTCTGTAAAATACGCAATTTTTAAGACCAATAAAAAACCAGCAAGAAAAACCTTTATATTTGCAGGTTCCAAACATAATAATTTAAATTTTTCAACGAATTCAAATAAAATAGCTCCCCTTAAATTATATTGCGCTGATAAAAATTTAAGTTAAGTTACAACCTTTGAATATTTGAGGTTGTATGAGATGTTATTAAAAACGTTCGTATTTGTTTACTTCGCTCAGCGAGGAAAAAGTTTTACCATTTCATACTTTCCAATATTCTTGTTTGTAACGTATATTAATCATTAGAAACGAGTGGCATGTCAAAAAGTTAGTTTTTATAAAAATATTTTGGTTTTTCTGATTGTTTTCTGTTTTTTTATATGAATAATTCGGTTATAAATCAACTTTAAATAGTTAATTTGAAACAATAATAGATTACACTCATTGCAAATCGAAAGTATAATTATAATTCTACAATTTAATTAAAAAAACAACTAATTTTATTATAAATCGATATAGCGAAAAGAAATCTTAGTAAGGAACTTTTCATAAAACTGTTTGAGTCAAGTCTGCAAACTAAAACATTTTCACTCGAAATTAATATTTTGTTCTCGGTTTTTCTTTTTTATTTATCTTAATGATGTTTTTTCGGACGGCCATGTTTTTTTATAGAATAAAGATTATATGAGTTATTAAAACTAATAGTTCTTGGGTTAACACTTTGCTATTCCATAGAGGATTATTTACTTATAATATATATATATATATATATATATATATATATATATATATATATATATATATATATATATATATATATATATATATATATATATATATATATATATATATATATATATATATTAATAAAATATTATTTTAGTTAATAATTTTTGTTGTTGTGCGAATGTTGAATAATTTTTAATGGCACTATAGAAATGATAACAACAATATATAATTTTAATATATTTTTTCTACATTTAGAGATAAAAATATATATTAATATTGACATATAATATATTATTATGTCAATATTAGATCCGTTTACTTGTGGCTTTGCAAAGTCAATAGTTTTTCTAATTTTAAAAAAAAAGAGAGCAGAGAAAAAAAGATTGAATGAAAATATAATCTTATATAAACATAAAATTAGACAACAACAGTATGATGAATATAATACATTTTTTAACCTCAAACAATTCAATATAGATTATATTCAATTCTCTAAAAATTTTCCTAAAATTATTCTTCATATGAAAATACTTGGGAAAAATAAATTAGTTAAGAATAATGTAATGAAGACATTTTCCAAAAAGAAATGGTTGAATCTTAGTCAGGAAATTAAAGAAAACCATTCACTTGTAAATTGTTTAGAATGCAGAAATGATTTGATATTGAAAAAATCTTTGGGTTTGTACCCTATTAAAGGATTGATACAAAAAATCAAAGCAAAAAAAGGTGGATTATTAAAAAAGACCATCGGTTTTAGAAATAAAATAATAAACAAGAATGATCAACAGTATTTAATAAACAAAAGCAAAACTTTTTCGAACAATGCTAAAGTACAAAAAGGAAACAGTTTATTTGTGAATATCTCAAAACAAAAGTTGGTATTATCTGTAAAAAAAGACATTGAAAAACAACTTCTAGAGACAAGCGTAGAAAGGTTAGATTTAATAAAATATTAGATATAATTTGAAAAAATATGTATAAATATATATTATTGTAAGCTTTTGGGTGTATTTACTGACTATCATCTTGATTTAAAATATTTTAGATCGTTTGCTGTACCTGTGTCATTAAGAAAGCGTAGCAAATTAAGATTACATGGAGGTTTTGAGTCAAAATCAAATGCAATACTTCGTACAAGTATTAATAGGCAATACATCGAGAAGGTAACTTGAATGCAATAAAACACATTCATTACACATGTAATACCAATATATTAAGATAATATAGTACTAATATGCAGACATGGGTTTATTTATGTATTTATCTTTCAATATATAGGGTTTAACGATTAAAAAAGATCATCTTGGTTCAAGATTCGGTTACAGATGGGAAAAAAAAAAGTGTTTACTTTATCTTGAAAATTTACCTTCCAATCAAAATATAAATTTTACCAGTCTAGCTATTAAATACAATCTTCATAATAAGGAAGGTTAGTTAAAATTGTAATAATTCTAAACACTTTTCCTTGCTCTCAAGATCTTCTATCTTTGTTATATATGTAATGTGTTCTCTTAAAATCTAATAGGGAAAATACCTGGGAATGCTGGTCAGGTCATAAAGGAGCTTCTGAAAGAAAATGGTGCTGATGTAGCAAAATTTAATTTAAAGTTTATTTCTACTTTTAATCAAACTGAAAATACAAACAATTGTAATTCCAAGCCTCGAAGGAGAAAAAGAAGGTATGTTTTTGTTCTCAGGAACAATTTTATTTTTTAGTTAAATCAATTATAATTTCTTAATTGTCTTCATTTGTGCCAATATTATATTTTAGAAAGTGTATTATGTCTTTGAGAATGAATAATATAATAAAATTTAATTATAACTTAAGATGCTTAATATAAATTCATTTTTGTTTTTGAATGAGCTTAAAAGTTACATGAGATAATAAATATCTCATTTTATTTATTGTAGTTTTTTTTATTGATTTAGGTTAAATGTACCAGGCTACAAAAGTATTTCTATACCAATGGAAGTTTCTAATAAAGTACTTAAAGATAAGTTAGAGCAAGATATTGAAAAAGGCAAATATAGAATCGGAAAATTAATTGTTCCAAAAACTTTTACAAAAACAGTTTGTAAAAACAATAGCTTAGTTACTGAAGAATTTTTAGTTTCTGGCAGAAAATTAAGTATTGATGATATCAGAGCAGATATGTATGAGAACCATAAGGCTTTTATGAGATTAACGACTGATCAAGAGTATTTAGCCTTAAGCAGGGAAACAATAATTGACGGTTTGAAAAGAATCGATGAGTTCAATGATGACTATGAGAATAGAAGTGTTTTGCATTTAAGAGAAACATTTAAAAAATTTGAGCGTACCAGACATTTGATGTTTTGGCATGATGGATCTTCACTATCCAACCATGGTCATATATTAATGTTGATATCAGTAATGTATGACAAAGCAATTTTTTTCAATAATGATGAGTACTACGAAAAGTATGGAGTAAAAATCAATATTCAAGCAATAGTAGAAAAACCTTTTTTATATATACTCGCACGGTGTCCTTCAAATGACGAACAACTCGAATACACAAATTTGCGAATTGAAGATATAATTTCACTAAAATATCCCATAATAGTAAATAATAACATAGAAATTTTTGACGTTTTAAGAATCTTTAAAGGTGACCATCCAGCTTCACAATTTGAATCTGGACAAAATAAAGGCGACAATTTTCCATGCCATGGATGTAGCCTTTTTGCTCCAAAAGCTAAAAGTTATTCATACTCACTTCAATGTAAAACATTGAGTTTAAAACAAAGAGTTGAAAAAATATTTCAAACAAACTTATCAAAAGATAACTTTAAACATGGGAAGATCTATTTATATAAAAATTTATCTAAAAGTGACATTATCAGTGAACTTCTTGGAAGAAATTTACAATTTAAAGTAAACTCAAATAAAAAAAATCTAAAAAGCATCCTTGATGAAGAACTGCATGGGATTCAACGTCTTCCAGCTTTGATGTGTACCAAATCATTTGATTGTTTTGATAGCTTGAACTTAGCTGAGTATTAAATATTGGTTAATGAGCCATTACATGATGTTTCTAATCATATAAAAAATCTACAGAAAGAAATTCCATTTCATTTAGAAAAGAGGTTAAAACCAATTGTTCAGCAAATAATTTCTGATTCATTTGATTCTGAGCTTAAAAACTCAGGTGATCACCGGAAGAGTTTGCTAGTTATAACTAAATGGTTTCAGGAGCATCAACCGTTTCACTTTATTTGCACACTTCTTACACAGTTATCTGAAATACAGGAAATACTTTACCTAGGCGATGATTTCAGAAAACCTATTGTTATACTGAGATTACTAATTACAACCTTTTTACATTCAATTTTTACAAACATATACTTAGAAGGAAAAATCAGCTCAATGAGCGAAAGAAAGTATTTTGGTATTTATTATCATAGTTTAATTAGACATTCCGGAGAACAATTCAGATTATTTTCAGGACGTTCATGCAATTCTGAAAAAGAAGAAGCCTTTTTCCATCCTCTTAAAGAGTTTACAAATCTCACTTCAAATCGTAATCCAGACAATATTATTCTTAATAATATAATAAGAATACAATCTAAAAAACTTCTGAACAATGAAGAAAATAACTCACAATTAAAAGAATCTAAACTCTATCATTTGTATTCTTCTATTAAGCAATCGTATAAAAATCATGTAATTCATTTTACTATAATAGAGCAATACCCGTGGGAATACCAATCAATGCTTGAGAACATAGCAGATTATTTAGTAGAAGGAAAATGGTGGAGTGAAACAAACAATGGTGTTGTGTTTTTTGATTTAGAGAACGACTCATTAAAAAAATTAACCCATTTCCGATCTACTTCAATCACGAAAAATAATAAACATATTGCATCATGTTGGATCAAATGCCTTGAAGATCTTTATAAAATACCTGCATTAAAAATCATGATAAACGGAAATATAGTTAAACTTGGTAATTTGAAATACTCGAACCATGTTAGTTTAGAGAGAATAGAAAGCTCTACAGAAATTCCGATTGAAATAATTAAAGATTAATTAATTTTTTGAATATATTTGTTATTTACGTCTTTATTCTTAAAGTATGAAATGTTTAAAACTGTTTTACGTTTAACTTCACAGGCCTTAGAGCTTTTTTATTCTTCTGCATCTGCTTTTTAACTTATTTATTCTGCCAAATAGCTAACCTTATTTTTCAATCAGGTCAAGTTACCTATTTAAGTTTAAGTCCCTAATTGTTTAAGCAGAGGCGCCAATTGAAGGAGGGGGGGGCTGAGGAGGACCATGCCCCCTTCTCTAATAAACAAAATCTTCACACATTTATATATATATACATAAAGTTTTGTTAAAAGTTTTTATTCAATACTATAGATAATTCAATACCATGGATAAAGCAGATATAGTAAATGACTTTTCCAAAATGCGCCAACATCGTTATCCATTGTTACAATGAAACTTTCATAGTTTTTAATGTTTTAATCATTAATATTTTATTAACTGAAAAAAAAAAAAAAGTTACGTAGGACCTAAATAGTGCTGCTCAATGTTATGATTTTGTTATGGGAGGAGGGGGTAGTCAACTTCTTTTTTCCCCCCTCAGGTTTTTGCTGAATTGGCGCCACTGTGTTTAAGCACAAAATTTTATAAACAAAAAAACTTTTTTTGAATATCGGAATATTTTTTTTTAGTTTACGCTTTTTGATTTGTTTTTTTTTTGTTTCGGAAAAGATAGCAAAAAAGTAGAATTTGAAATGATTTTGAAATCCCGTTTTAAAATTATTAAAATCGGTTATTTTTAAATAGATATAAAATGCGTACCAGATATGGGCCGCATAACTCGAAAAATTTCTTTTGTTCTATTGCGATGGCGAGTAAAATGTTCAAATCTACGAAAAAAGATAAAAAACCATCCTTAAGTACATCGAGAAGGCCTGCTCTGTGTAGTTAAGGCGATCTACGAAATATTCGAATACTTTTATTTGGAATTAGCATGGTTTTGTCAGCATATCATGTCCAAACAAGGTCTTTAAATGCTATAATTTTTTTTGCTTAAGGTTTTTATAATATTAAAAAAAACTTTTCTGTTTTATATGTAATTTTCAAAACCTTTTTACTACCTGTAATAATGTAATAATCTAAAGAACACTATTTTTGAGTCTTTAGATCAATTCCGCTCATCGGCATTAATATGAAAATAGTTAAAGTCTTTTGAAAAAGTTCCTTAATTCACTACTGATCCTAATTCTAATCGGTTCTGACGTATGTTAAATATATATATAGATGTCATAACACAATATTTCTATCAATTTTCACAAAAAATACTAGAATTCAGACCAAGAGACAAAGAGCTTATAGTTATAGAAAATTGTCAATAAACGATCAGAACAGATCATATTGTTAAACTATAATGTTTATTTCACCTAAAAAACGTATTAATATAAAATCAATATTCAAATTTGGACGAGCGATTAAGATTTTAAGATGATATTTTTAAAATAAAAAGATTCCACGGTATGGGAAATAGCAGATATTAAAAATGCAATGACTTTTCAAAATGAAATGTATGAAAAAGAGACAAAAGAATTATACGACTTTAAAGAACATCTTAAACACAACACGAAAGAAAATGAAAAAGCTTTAAACAATGAAGAATTTAAAGATAAACTTGCAGAAGACAGAAGCAGAAGAAATAATATACGATTTGATAGCTTTGAAGAGAAGGAAAATGAAACGTGGGAGGAAAGCGAACTTAAAGTTCAAGTTTTCTTAAAAGAAAAGCATGACGAACGAAGTATATATCGAGAGGGCTTACAGAACAGGAAAAAAGAATGAAGTTGGAATGAAAAAACGAAGAATTATTATTGCAAAATTTTTAAACTATAAAGACAAAGAATACCGATTACTCAAATTATGGAACGAAAAAATATTCTTGAATGAAGATTTTAGCGAAAGAACAAGAGATAAACGGAAACTTCTTTTTGCAAAAGTTCAAGATATTTGAGCCACCGGTAAGTATGCCGGTGTTCGAGCCACAGGTAAGTATGTCGGTGTTCGAGCCACCGGTAAGTATGCTAAAGTAGTATACAATAAATTAGTTACGCGCGAATTTTAAAAGAATTAACTTATTTCATTTTTGGATTTCAAATAACTATAATGGATTCAAACGAATCTGTTGATTTTCAATCAACTTTAATTAACTTATTTCAAATTAATGATTTTTTATTGGACAGCAATAACAACCCTGACCTAAATTATTTTAGTGGAGCTGGGGCTTTAAAAAACAAGTGCAGTTATTTGTATGTCCATGAATTAGAAAAATTTCTTGAACCGGATAAGTTGAATGTGATTCATATAAATATAAGGAGTTTAAAAAAAAACTTTGAAAATTTTCGTAATTTAATTGATGAAACTTTTAACATTTTTAGCGTAATTTGCTTAACAGAAATTTGATGTGATTCTGATGATGTTTATTTTATTTCTAATTTCAACTTGCCTGGATATAAATTGATTTCATTAGCGTGTAAAACCAATAAACGTGGTGGCAGAGTGATTATTTACGTAAAGGAATGCTTGAAATTTTTAATCAGGCTTGACATGAGTATCTCTGATAGTAATAAAGAGGTTTTATTAATTGAATTAATTATTAAAAAAGCTAAAAATATTATAATTAGTTGTTGTTATCGACCACCATCTGGTGTAATTGAAACTTTTAATTCATATTTACATTATGATATAATTAAAAAAACCAATCATGAAAAAAAATTTAACTACTTAATAGGTGATTTAAATTTATTTTATTTTATTTTAGATTTATTAAACACCCGCTATACAAGGACGGTAAATTAAGAGTTTTATACAAGATAAATATTCCAGTTTCCATTGATTGATGTACCTACAACGCTTTCGTTTTGTAAGGTTTTTAGTAGGTTTTGATATAAATGTTATACAAATCCGGCGAACAAAAATGAGTTTTAACCCACAGTATCGTAATTATAATATCTTTGTTACGTTCTGATTGGCCCGTTTTTTGTTTACAAAATACTTTTATATAACTTTTATGTGAAACGTTTTTGCATAGGAAATTTAGTTAAAAATTAACTTTTGTCGGTAAGCGGGTTTATTTTAGGGTTGTTCGCCGAAAAACAAAACTTGCGAAAATTTCGCATCTTTATCTACCGTAATAGAATTGTTATTGCGGAAGTTGTACATGCAAAAATGCACATTCCGTAACGCGCAATACGAAAATATAAATAAATAAAATTCCGTAATAAAGCATTGCGAAAGAAAACTTGCGAAACAAATCATTTCGTAAGAATACTTACGAAATAGTTCCTTACGGAAAAAGCATTCCGGAATGTGCAGTTACGAAAAAGACGCAAAAGATTTTATGTTACGATATATTTAAGATATTAACTGTTAACAGTTTAAATAATAAATAATAAAATTATAAAAAAATGTTGTCAAATGATTCTTCAAATGTTTATACAAATATACTTAATATATATATATATATATATATATATATATATATATATATATATATATATATATATATATATATATATATATATATATATATATATATATATATATATATATATATATATATATATATATATATATATATATATACATATATATATACAGTAAAATCTCGTTAAGTTTGACTCTCAATGAACAGATAAACAGTATGCCTTTCTTTTTAAAAAGTATAAAGAGGATGTGTGATAAACAATTAAATACTTTATTATAAAGAACGAGAGATCTCTCTAAAGGTAAATGATATCAGAAAGAGTAAAAAGAGAAGAAATATATGTGAAACAGCGGGATGTGAACCTGGGTCTACGCGGCTAAATGTCTTAACTGAATGAGGTATACGTTCATTCAACTAAGTGAATAGTAATATTTATTTATTATTTAATTAAGAAACTATATAAAACAGAATTTACAGAAAGAGATACGTATGCAAATAGAGTTCTATATATCAGGAAAATGAATAGTAATGTGAACCTTTAGTTGCTTATAAATAATATCTGGACTCGAAAACTAGTTATTTTTAATGGAACACAATAGGCTGTAGGAGCCTCAGGGAAATTATATTCAGAAATGATTATATTAGACTCAGAATTAACTGAAAATTATTACAAAGTGTTTAGGACAGATGTCTAGTACAAAAAGCACAAGATTTAAAGCAAAATGATTTATTTTATTTGAAAAGATTGTTTTACGTACATTTCATCATAATTTAAGTAGAACTTAGTAAAGCAAGGGAAACGTGTAGAATTAAGCACAATGAACTCAATCTTAAAAGAATAACTAACAGAAGAGAGGTTGTCACTATTATGAAGGTGACGAAAGATCTGTAATATAGAACATGGAGGTCAAAAAATGCTATCAGTAAAAAGAGTTTGATGAACAAAAGTTACAATGGCTGCGGGGTGCGAACCCGGATCTCTGGGGCGAATTATCACGTATCTAACTGATTGAACTATACGATCTTATACTTAAATTTATATCTTATTAAAATTAAAAAATAATATTTTCTAAGATCTATACTTCGAAAAGCGTATTCAAACAGGACTCTACATACCTTTAAAATCTGCTAGAACTAGCTAGTAACGTGCACACTTTTAGAAATTATTGAAATAGGTATATTTTATCAGAAATATGCTTAAGCTAAAGCATATTTTTTAGCCTCTTTTTACTATTTGCTTAAGCATATTCGAACCTGTTTCAAAAATTTCATATGCTTTAAAAAAAAAACATGTATATTCCTACCTATCATTCTTATTTTTAATATACGTAATGAGTTCAAAAAACATCGTTATATATATTTATTATGGCACGTTTCGTATGTTTATTTCCGTTAAGAATTCTTTCGTATGTTGTGATCCGAAATACTTTCGTTTCGAAAGAAATTTTATTTTTCATCAATATTTCTAAAAATAAAACCATAAAAATTTAATATGTTATTATACTGAAAATAAAAATTCATTATAAACATTTTGGGATTTAAAGATGTTAATTTTTACAATTAAAATCAGTCTGGCAAACAAATTTTCTTTATAGACTTCAAAACGTC